GAAAAGAAAAGAAAAGAAAAGAAAAGAAAAGAAAAGAAAAGAAAAGAGAAAGTCCACTTGCCTCTTGAAAAAGCACCTTTGGGACAGTTAATTGCATAATTTTTGTTATATAAAGAAAAAGGAACTGTTTGGTCACTAGGAATTTTTTTGTTTGGGGCCCCTTTCATAATGTAATATAGGTATTCCTTGAGTTATTACGGTTCTTTAGGGATATGATAATAGTAGAATAGGTAGAATTAGTGGGACATAATAATAACTTGCTATTTCACTTCTGTAAGAATCACTTTATTTTTGTTATCTAGTTGTTTTGTATCACTTGGTGTATGGAACGGAATCTGTCATAGTTTGGCAGGTTTACACCGGGTGTTGCTAAGCACCCAGCCCCTCTGTTGCTAAGCACTCAAACCCCCCTGTTCCTTGCTGAACTGCCAAAGGAAACCAGGGGACCAGAATTGGGAATTAAGCTGATGTTTATAAAAGGATAGCATACCTTCCCCAAGGTGTAGCCTTTCACTGCATGCTCTTTGTATGTTCTGGAATGTCTACTTGTACAAATTAAAGCAGATATTTTTTTCCAAGCCTCTTCTTGAGTCTCTCTCTCTCTTTGGCGTTCTCGTGACTCAAATACATTTTCTTACATGTTCTAGCGCCCAACATGGGGCTCGAAGGCTTTGTTCCTTCGAGGTGGCTGTATTCAGCTCCTCACAAGCTGAACTCCTTTGAAGTTCAGTGTCACCTCCACTATGGCAAATGGAAGAAACCAGCTGGGACCAGTGGTGAAGTCAAGAGCACTCCTGGAAAATTTTATCCAGTGAATTTGATGTGGTCATTTGCTGGCAGGCTCCGATTCTGCCTATCCTGAACACCCTAACCAAAGAGGCTTGCACTGGGGGTTGTGGAACTGAGCTCTTCTAGGTGAGTAATTTTTTTGGGGGGGGGGGAGTATTCCCTTGTGTGTGTGAGTGACTGAGACATGGGAAATATCTACTAGAGGTTTGTCTACACTTTGAAAGGAATGTGACTGTTGGAATAAAAATTTTTAGATTCAGCAGAGTCCTGGCCAACTTCAAGCGGGGGGGGGGGGGTGTCCGAGACTCCAAGCCTACAGAAAGGCCCAAGATCCCCCTACTGAGAAAACCCCCTTAAAAAGCTTGAAATTCAGGGGAGGGTTATAATAAACTCAGAGCTGACAACAGGTCCAAGAAATCCCTTAAGGGAAAAAAGGGAGAGTTTGGTCAGACTTCGAGCCTACAACAAGTCTGAGAAATCCCCTTAGGAAATATGGGCAACAATATTAGTAGCTAGAACAAATAACCTAGTAAAAAGAATAGGCCGTGTTCTCCATTCGGCTGCATGATTGTTAGCCTACTGAAACACGTTAAAAACATGTTGTGACAGTAAATGTTGCTTTAAAAATGTCTTTTAAAAAGAAAAGTGGAATTCAAACTAGCTCACGAGAGTCCTGCCCAGGTGTAAACGATATGTGAACGAAGGTCTCTAGATCTTTAAAAATAGTCCAGCGATTGATGGGAGATCTAAGATATATAGAGAAGAGTTTGAATCTTTAAAAATAAGCCAGGACCTGCTGGGAGATTCAAGCTAGAAAGAGAAGACAGAATAGCCCCAGGGCAGAGACACGTAGTAGACATTGGGTGTAACTTCGAGTAAAAGTGAGAAGTTTACTAAAACAATTAAAAAGAATTCCAAATTGTAAATAGACCTGACTAGTCCTTTAGGGAAAAATGCTTACAGATTGGGAAACCCCTCCATACAGTAAGATGATTCAAACGTTGGGTCTGACCAAAGAAGATATGGTTAATTTAATCTGTCATGTATGGTAGAAAGACCCAGGAATCAAAGAAAAGAAATACTGTAGTGTTAGAAAGATCTCTAGAATTTACTATTGTCAAAACAGCCAGAAAACTCTGAAAGAACTAAGAGTAAAGAATAAAAGGTTTATTGTTCTTCCTACCCGGGGTTTAGCAGGTAATAAAAAGATAAATCCTGTCTAAATGGGAAGACTCAGATAATTTGATGTGATTTCTGTTTAAAATTCTAAGATGTGTATCTATAATAATAGCATGTAGAATTGAATGGAGTTGAATTGATTGTGATATGTTTGCCCAGCCAGCAAATTAAGTAAACTTCTCAGCTTGGGCTTGAAGCTGTGGTAAACAGGCAGTGGTTCAGGCCCTCAGTCATATTTATGACTGAAACTACTCTCTGAGTTTTCCCACTGCTTGAAGAATGAGCTATAGGTTGCCTAAGAAAAAGTGGAGATTTAAAGAGACAAAACCTCCACAGGTCTGGAAATGTTGTTTAATGGTATATGTGTGTATGTTTATGTGTGTAATCATTTCCAAATCTGCAGGGAGGATGAGACCCTCTAATAATAGTACACAAAAAGTTATTTAGAAAATGGAGCTCATTGGCTTGTAAAAAAGCTCCCTGAAATAATTATAATGATTGGTTTGCATGGAGAAAGCATGAAATGAAATTTTTGTATGTGAAATTAGTTTACACAAAAAGTCTGAGTGCAGTACAAATGTGAGTGTGTGTGTGAGACATGCCCCAAGGCTCATAAGGAGTGATAAGGCGAAGTGATCTTGAGACCTGTGAATGCCCCCCCCCAGAGATATTTCCTTTCATATTAAGAAACAGTAATTTGCAAGGTTTTGTGGTTGTTGTGTAGGCAATAGCAAGAAAAAGAAAGGAAGTGAGAATTCTGTGTAGTTTAAATATTTTTCCTCTCTGTATCCATTTTTGCCTTGGAAGAGCAAGAGAATCAGGAAAAAGGGGTGGTGGTGGCTACAGTTTTCTGTTCTTTTAAGTATTTTTCCGAGGCAGCCTGAAAAAGGCGGGGTAAAGGGTGACATCCGATACCTGCTTTTGCAGTTTGCACTGTTTTGGCCTGCATATAGAAAGCTATGCAGATATATTTTTCTTTTATGAATACAATTTTGTTTTTTTTCTTCTTCTTCTGGAAATTTTGAGGTTTAAAATGCTTAATTAAACCTATATAGAAGAAATGATTTTGAAATACAGTATTTTACTTACATTTGTAAATGTTTTAACTTACTTAATGAGAATTTGCTTCTATCTGAATGGAATTTGAATCTGACTAAGCTGTTCTTCTTACCTCCCTCTTTTATGTCTTTATATATGTGTGCATTTTGAATGCTTAGGAGTCAAGGTGGCATTCATCCTATGGCATTTTGTTTATCTCTCAGCAACACCAGTTGTTGCCCTTGTAGGAATTGTTACAGAGATGAGTTAGGAATTACAATATATAAAAAGAGAGATAAAATACTTAGGACATTTAATTAGTGAAAGAAGTAGAAAAATAACATCTGGAAGAATTGAGGGAATAGCAACTCAATCCTTGCCTAAGACAAAGAAGGAATTGAGGAAATGTCTAGGATTGACTGGATATTGTAGGTTGTGAATAGATAATTATGCTATTTTGAATAAAGACTGGCATGCAAAGAGCCTAGTGTTACATGGATAAAGAAATGGCTTTGAGGGTTTTAACCCAGAAGTGGGGAGGAAAGAGTGAGTCAGTGGCATTTTTGTCTAAAATGTTTGACCCTGACATATTCAAGGATTTTGAAATATGAGAGTATGCTTATGGAACAAATGATTTAGTATTAACCACTGATGTTCGCTTGAATGCACTTAGAATGATCAGATATTGTTGCTGAGAAAGAGTTAATTTGTTTATAGATGGGAAAATAAAATGGTAGAAGGTAAGAGGAGTTAGAGAAAGTGTGAGCAGGTACCATAAATGGGTAGTACCTGATGGAAGGCAAATGTTGATTTTGGAAGTACTACATCAGGATAGTTATTGGGGGACTAAGGTATAATGTGATTTGTTTGTAGAAGCTTATGGATGCTGTGGACTGTGACAAATATGTGAAAAATGTATAATATGTAAACAAGTTCTACACATAAAGAAGAGGGAAGGCAACTTTAGCATGACACCATTTCAATGCAACTTGATTTTATTAAACTACCTCAAGTGAGGAGACTTAAATATTTATTGGTTTTAGTGCGTCGCTTGACTGGATGGATTGTGGCTTATCCAGCCATGAGAGCCACTACAGCAGTAGTCACCAACAATATATTCAAATAGATTATACCTAGATATGGAATAGAAGCTATAGACAACAACTTTTTTACTGCAAAAGTGCTTCAATCAATCCTAGAGGCAGTGGGAATTAG